CAATATACAGTGTGCAATAAACTGAATAGTAACTAATAGCTAATAATAATCCTAACTAATAGAATAATAACTAATAATAATCCACATCGCAACACATTAAAAGGGTTAAAGTGCAGCACCAATAAGGAACAGAGTGAAGAAACCAATCATAACAGAAACAGACTGAAAAGGAAGGAAGAAGATCCACAAATCCTCTGTGCGAATCCGCAGGTGACTCAGACAGGCACTATCATCAAAGACTGTGCTCATTTTCTTTAACCCTGGGGCCCTGTTCACAGAGTGAATGAGCTTGAATGCTCAGAGTAGAAACTTCTGTCTTCTGATACTCCAACACCTCCCAGCGGTCTCCTACACCATGCTAGGGCACTGAGGTCAAATATTGGACATAAAGGAGGAAGTCAGATATTCCCACACCACATACAGTACAGCAGCAAACTTCCACTTGAGTCCAGGCTCTGAGAAATGTGGAAAAAAGGCATAACTTTTTTTTCTGAATCTAAACACGTTTATGTTGTTACAAGCTATGGGCTCTAATAAGCAGACAGAGTTTCAAAGCCACATGAGAAAAATAACTGCTTTATGAAATTCAAAAGGCAGGTCCTGTGCTCAGTTTTAAATTTACTTCCAGCATCTTTCTGAACTAATTTGTAACTAAATTAGGAATGAAGAAAAGCATTCCAATTAAATAACTATTAAAGAACTCCCTTTGCTGAATATCTATTCAAAGACCTGGCAGCTTCAAAGATTAGCTAAATGGCTTGCATTTAAATACCCACTATAACAAAACAAGTTAACAGGCTTCAAAAAATCCTCCTTTCTCTCCACAAACAAAGCCAAAACCAGTGACTCCTGACCAAAAAGTCCAAGATCTTAGCAGCTAGATGGCTGATATTTACTAATCCTAACTGAAGCTTTTTTTCCCACAAAACACTAAATTAAAACTCCTGACTGTTTCTAAGCCAATTCTACATTTTTGCGAAGTTTAAGATTTGGCGTAACATAACTCTTGTGTGACATGTTAAAGCTATTTGATTACTTCAATCACTTTGCTGCTAGAAATACATTTGATTTTCTTTCATAACTGTCATTCCTCTTGTATCCTAGTTTTAGTTAATAAATGAAGTGGTTTACAGAATACTCACAGTTCTAATGGTAGTAGGCTCTCAGCTTTATTCTCATTATATCAGAGTCCTTCTGGTTTCCATTCCTAACAAATTTTTAATAACAAAAGTGATTGTTTGCCTCAAGTAACCTGTTTAAAAATATCTGTGGTTCTAACTCAGGTAATGATTTGAGCAATCCTAGAAAAGCCCTCAAGAATAAGAAATAAGGAGTCCTTCTTTAGACAGTTTGATAATCAGAAAGCTTTATCAATAGACTTGCACTATCAATACAAATGGCTTGGGAGAAGAGGGTTTCCTTGTTTAATCAGTTTCTTACATACTGAAATCAAACAGCCTTGAAAATGGTATGACTGTTATTATACTTACACACAACTAGGTTAGATGATACTGAGGCTAATATCTGATAACTTCCATGCTGGTACAATGATGAAACAGGCAATGAACCAGATGATAAGCACCACAGGCACACATGTACAGTAGTTATCAGCGCTCTCTAATGTTTTTGAAATGCAAACTGACCTGATTCTATTAAAAAAAAGAAAATAATAAATACATGCACAGTGATTTCTTAAGTGAGATTGTACCAAAAGCGTAAATATGTTTATTAGATTTGCTAAAAGTGGATAAGAGACAAACCTAATTTACATTTGACAGAATAAATCACATCAGTCTGGATGCTGTTCTTTGTACAGCTTTCTATTCATTTTCTTTAGTACAGTAAATACATGTTCATAAAACATGCAAATACAGTGCTTTGCAAAAATATCCATCCCTTTAAAAAATATCCCAACAAAATCCCTTTTGTTGAATTACAAAACGACGTATGCACTGAACATTTTAATCAAATGAAACACTTTTATGGATATTAAAGTTAAATGTGAGTGAGAATGGCACAGAAAATTCATTAACATAAAATATTTTAATTGAATAAATTATCACTCTTCAACTCAAAACTTGGTAGAGCCAACTTTAGCAACAGCTACAGCCGCAAGTCCTTTTGGGTCAGACTTTTTGGACAATTTTCAAGTCTTGCCACAGATGTTCTATTAAATTTAGGCTAGGACTTTGACTGGGCCTTTGACTTGAGGACATTCACTTTCTTCTTTTTAAGCCAATTCCAGTGCAGCTTTTGTCTTCTGCTTTTGGCCATTGTCTTACTGAAACGTTGTGTCCCAGTTTTCGATCTTTACCAAACTGAAGCAGGTTTCCCTCACAGGTTTGACTGCACTTTGCTGCATCCATTTTCATCTCAATCATGACGAGCTTCCCAGTGCTGAGTGTCAGTAATGGTGTCGCCACCAATCTTGACAGTAGGAATGGTGCTGAATGGGTGATGCACTGCAGTTTTTGCACTAAACCACAAAACATTTTGTCCCACAGGTTTGCAGTACTGTATTATCTAAATGGCTTTCATTTAAAAACCACACAGACCAGCTATGGTTCACAGACATTTTCTTCCATTTCAGCCACAATTCTCTGCAGCTTTCTTAAAGCTGCTGTTGCTCATGCTGTAGGGTGGCATTCTTAACCAGATTCCTTGCTCCACACCCCAGTTAGGAGGGACACCCTGATCTAAGCAGTGCATTATACACCTTCCATCTCTTAATGCTTGACTTCACAGTGCTCAGAGGGATATTCAGTGTTTTGGAAAAGTTTGTAAACCCTTTTCTTGGTCTATCCCTTTATAAAACTGCATCCCTGGGTTCTTTTGAAAGTTCCTTAGCCTTCATGGTTGAATCTTTGCACAAAATTCTCTATCTGATTGAGGGGCCTTACAGAGACAGGTATATTTATTATGGAATCATTTGAAACAATACAAAAAAATCGTACACATCATTTGTAATTCAGAAAAATTACAAATTACAAAAGGGAATATTTTTGCAAAACACAGTGCATATCAAAGAAAATGTAATATTGTAGTATGAAGTGCAATTTATCACAGCTAATATGTTTATAATGTTGTTGAATTGGTTTAGTAAAAGAAAAAACACGATTCACTGTTGCAAAACACACTAGATAAAAAACCCAGGGAAATCTAGTTAAATGTTAACTTAGAAAACTTTTTAAGAAACCCAAATATCCTTAAACAAACCTTTAGTGTAGTGCTATATTATTAACAAAAAGGTAAATATTAAATTTTCCAGTGTTCTGTAAGACCTACAGTAATCTGAAAAAATAACAAACTACAGTATCTACCTTGACCACTAGATGTCACCATTTTCCTATGTATCTTAACTGATGCTGCATTACATAAACTATTGAAAATGTGTGCATGGTTTCTTTGAACCATCAACTTAGTAACAATACATGTATAGAATACACATTTGTAAAACTTCTCAATCCATAATTTGACGTATATATTCAAGTTTATGTTTATTTTCAAATTTTCTTTAAAAATAATCCCAAAGTCCAGTTCAAGGTACCAATTTGGTATAACCACCATCTCTGTAAATACATATTGTTCCAACTTTTTTAAGGGAGGGCTTCTGTGCTGCAACTTGCGAACTGCACATACAGAGTTAAAAAAAATATAGATTTTTATAGTGAACTGTAAGCAACTGTGGCTTCTGTAATATTTTGCTGGCTCGCTTCACTTCAAAGGAGCTCCCTCTCCTCATTATTAAATATTACTGATATATAATAAAACATATTTTTAACAAGTAAAAGGCCAGCCAACATTATAGTCCTCTTCCTCCATCAGTTAGTGCAAATTATTTTTTTTTTTTAGTGGGTTTCATTTCCCTGTCACAATAGTCAATAGTGATAATATTGAAAACGCTGCCATTCACCCACATACAGTAGGAGTCAATTGAAACATGGTTATTGCTGCTATACGATGTGATTAAGCCTTTAAATGATCGGCTTTATTTCCACATTCACCCTAGCTCCATGTAAGGTCTGGGACTATATGAATTGTCATGAATCTGTCAAACTGTTCCCCTGAGATATAATGCAATATACAGTATGCTAAATACCCAGATGTAAAGTACCTTCAGTTTTCTTGACTCATGGCAGCCATTATCACCAACCTCACCCCCAGAATCTCAACACATCCTTTGTTACTTCCACTTTTCCATCCTGTCTCTCTCTCTCTCACTCCCGATACCTCATGAGTATCATATAGTCAGTCAGTACATTACATCTGCAGAGAGCTCTCAGATGTCACAGCATGATACGGTGCTTTAGAAGGTGGGGGTTTATTGCTGTCTATAGGATCCATTGATCTCTAGATGAAACAGGCAATCCCCAGCAGGACTGTGGCATCAATCTTCAGGGTATTCAATGACAAAAGATTTTTATTTTAATATTTTAGAGGCAGCAGCTTCTGTGTCTATTTTTATTAGTTAACTGCACTTTGGGGAAAACAGCAGCCATCCCAGCAGGTCTAAAGTGTTCAGAGCCAGGAGCCAATTTATCGTATATAACAATGTACGCATCTAATGTCATACTATAGCGTTTTATAAAAGATAATTCACTCGGCTGGGTTTCGAAATGTCAGCTGGATAATCCACGCAGTTTTAGGGAAAATAAGCTTGGTTCAAGCAGCTTTTTTTCTTTGCATTTCAGAAAAGGTATGCTCTCCCACTTAAAAGATGCAAACCGCTGAAAGTGTGAGAGCATTTCTCCAATTAGCAATTTTTTGCTGAGGGTGATGAAGGTGAATGATCAGCTTCCGGGCTCCTGTTTTTGTTTTTTTAATTGCCCTGCCTCCCTCTCTCCCTGGTATTTTCTTCTCCGCTTTGAAGTACGCTAGTGAGAGCAGAATCACCCTGGCCCTGCCGGCCCTGGCACTTCAAAGTGCCAAACTGTAACAGACAGCGCAAGTGAGGGCACCAGCGAGGAGCGGAAGGGAGCAAACGGGCCATTAGCACTCACGTCAAACTCGTTCAGAGCGGCCGCCAGCTCTCCGATGCCAGTGTGCCCGTGCTTTTCGTCCGTGGGGGAGGTGGCTTGGGCGGCGCTGGAGATGCCGGCGATGGCCTCCTGCACCTGCTTGAAAACGTAGTCTCGGTTTGCCCGGGTGGCGGCGACGTCAGGGTGGCGCAGGAAGGCCTGTGATGCTGTGTACAGCATGGTTGCATTTTTCTTAAGGGCACCTCGAGCTGCTGCCATCTCATCCCTGCAGTGGGGATCCTTCAACTCCTGGAGGGGAGGGAGTGGGGGAAAACGATTATTCCTAGAAACCAAGAGGTCTGTTAAGTGCTTGGGTGAAGTAAAAGAAAAAATAAACAAATCATGACTATGTACTGTAGATAGAGCCGCTGACTATTTTATGGATTAAATAAAGAAATGATCTTAAATAACAGATTTTTTTTATAAGCCCATTATTTATCAAATAATAAAATAAACATGTAAATATGTGACATTTATTGCAGATCAAATAAAAGAATTGGGTTTAGCAGGCAATTCAAGTGATCGTGTTTCAGAGGGAGAAGGTAATTAAGTGGAGTCACAGTGCTTTTCAGATTAATGCTGCATACATAAACCTATCATGACAGTATTTGGATGACTGACTCACAAATCCTACAGTCTTCCAATAAAGCACTTTTAATCTTTTTGGAGAGTTGAATTAATTGAACAGGACAGTTAAAAGACAAAGATATAAGAGGTAATTTATAAATCTATTAAAATTGCAATGTAATATGTACAGTACATTAAAAAGGTGACTTATATTTTCTATCACCTACTGTATCCATCCATTTTCTAACAGCTTCTTCCAATACAGGGCCAATCAGGCAAACAACGGGTACAAGGCAGGTTATACCCTGGACGGGGTGCCAGTCCATCAGCAGGGCACACACGCATACTGTACTGTACCAACACAAGTACACACACACACGCACACATGCACTCCTTGAGCTTATTTTACTAGTAACCAATTAACCTACCTGTATATTTTTGGACTGTGGGAGGAAACCCACACAAACACAAGTAGAAAACACCAATTCCATTCCGGTCCAGAATTAAACCCAGAGCCCCAGAGCTGAGAGGCAGAAATGCTATCCACTTTCTATTTGCTATTTATTTTTTCAATTAAACCTGGAGTCAATTATGAATGTACTTCGACAATGTATTATTAAATAAAACATAATTGTACATATCTGATCCTTAGCACAACTAAACACAACACAGTATCATACTACTTACTGTGCAATTTAACTACACTTCTATTTGCCACATCATGTTTAAGAATTTCCTAAATTAATAGACTGCGATAGTCATACTTCATGCATTTTTGTTTACGCCTGTGACACACAGAGTTACAGATCTTTCTCACCTGCTGCCTTCTGGCTGCTACGTAATTAAGTTTGACCATTTCCTTTCCAAACTCCTTGAAGCGGTTGGCCAGGTCCTGCTCATTGGTGGCATTTTTCACAGCCTCAAGAGCTTCTTCCACCTGTCCAATTAAAACACAACATTGTCAGATCTCATCCCTACTACATATTCCCGTGTTTTAATTCTTGACTAAAACACTTGCCCAGATATTTATAGAACTAAAAACCATTCCCTTGTTCAGGGATCTCATAATAAATGAAATATCTCATTCATAATTCACATCTCATTCAATCTGACATTACCCTGAGTAGTAGACGGTTTGAACAGCCCTTTGCTCTTAGTGTTAGATAACTTAAATTAATTCACAACAAATAATAAAAGTTGGATTTAACTCTTATTAAGATATAGAAATCAGAGACTATACATACTGTATATATAATATACTGTACATATGTTGTTTTGGAGACCATAGGTCACTATAAAATAAGTGATGAAACAACATTAATTAAATTTGACCACAATTATAGAAAGCTCATTGGTATAAAAAGTAAGCTGATAAATTGGTTAAATGTTCCTTATGTGATGTGTTGCAGATACCACTAGGGGACGCCAAACTAGTTTCAGAGACACAAGACTTGGTTCAATTGAAAAATAATTCACCTGGGAAGGACAACTGTTTAATCAATTGAACTGGAACTTTTTCATTTTCACATGGGGTTTGCTGTATACAGTACAAGACTGTACTGTAACCCAGCAGCTGGGAATACTAGTAATACAGGAGTTTGAGAGTTACGTAGCCACCCTTTATGGCAGCTTTACTATTTTATTTGCAATTTGATGCTGCAAACTGCTCTGCTATCCTGGTGTTTATAGAAAGAACACATTTTAGTTAGAACCTGAGAGAGACCACGTTTATTTTTGTTGCTTTGTATCACTTTGTATTAGAAGTGTATCAATTAAGCCAAGAAGTCGTCTTCCAATAATTCAGCTTTTATTTGTGAAGGTCTGTATATGATGCTATGTAGCAAAGCGGGGATGGAAAACGGGTGAATTCCCAGGGGCGAGGTCATTTTACATTCCTAGGATTCTCACAAGGAAACCACTACATTGGCTGAACCTGGTCACTTATAAAAAGTTACTAGGAAAGTGAGGGCGGTCTTTTTCACAAGACCCTCACAGTTTAAGAAGACAGTGAGCATTTAAAAAGAAGAAAGACGATTCAAGAGATAATGGTTTTGGTTAAATATCACTAACCAGAGGGAGCATAAAATGGGATAAAACTGGTAGCAGCCTCGGTTGTTTTCTGGGTCGGGACATCGGTAAATAAGATGGGTAATGAGCGTACCTGGCCAACTGGAATGGACCGAGAGAGCTCATTGCCACTTCTATCCAGGGAGATATAGTCACGGTGTACTGTATGTGGAGACCCCTTGCCAAGCTATCGTATAGAGGGATCTACCACATCCCACCAAAGGCAAAGATCTACCACACCTGGTGGCAGTGTGTTGGGATTCACTACTGGTAAATTTAAGTGTTGGTCAAGTTTTTAAACTTTGGTAATCGCCATGGGCATTGAAGATTAAGGTCCTGTACTGAAACAAGTGATCAGCACACAAGAGGTTTGAAGAAGAAGGTGGAACCTTGGAAGAGCTCTTGTTGGAAATGATCCCTGATGACAACTCAGTCCTGTTCTTGATGGCCCGCTCAGTCTAACAGCTGTAACCCCACATGAGCACGCACTGGGCTGATGCACATGCAAGGTTTTGGGGTTGCATGGTGTGAGAAGCCCAAACTCTAGGCACTCTGTTGTAGCCGCTAAGCATAAAAATAACAGAAGCATAACGTCTCTAAACGTCATAAGCAATATTAATCTAGGAATATAATATATTGTACATACTGTATATGGCTGGTAGTGGTAGCTAAAAATAAACAAAATACACAATATTCCACCTTCTTCATAAACATTTTATGCATCAAAGTATTGAAGTCATTTACTGTGATTATTTTGGAACAATGTTGACATGCTTGTTTTGACTATATTAAGTTTATATACTTTTCTATGAATATTTGTATTGTTTAAAATCCACATAATAGGGAATATTAAAATGGAATCGTGTAACATAAGAAATGAATAACAACATTAATTTACGCTTCCAAATATAATATATTTATATAGCTGGTGATACAATATCTTATGCTAACAATGTTTTCAATTTTACAGTTTACTGTTTAAACTGAAAACTTATCTGAGATTTCATTTCTTTTGCCTTAGGATTTTTTGGAGTGTCTTCAATACCAAAACAAGTAATTTTACCACTATGAAAACAGGTTATTTTTTGCACCTGCAAAGGTCTATAAAAAAGAAGTACTGTAAGCTCTTCATGAGGTTGGTTTTGAAGAAATTTTTTTATCTGTGCAAGTGAGAACAGCCACAGACCAGTGATGTCTTTCTAAGGTTTTTGTGAATGCTAACTGTGCACACTATAGATTTCGCATATTTCAATGTGTTGCCCTTGTGATTTTTTTTTCTCATCTCCCTCAGAAAAAAAAAATCGTCTTTCTAAAGCCGCACTGCATCAATGTATTCCCTCTACAGTTAATGGGGCTAGCTATGAGAAAATCAAAGTACCAGTAAACAGCCCCACATATCCAATTACCAGTGCATGAGAAACTAACCTCGGGTTGTTTCCTTTGATTACAAATATACAGAGATTTTTAAAATGCAAAGTTATAAATTTAAGATGTATCATAAGTGCCTGAAGGAAGAGGGTTCAACTTGCTTCCGTGGTATTAACACTAAAGCAAGTAATAATGTAAAACATTCATATTAAAATATCCAAGAGTGAAACAGAAAAAAATTGTCATACCATCTGACAAACATTCACCTCAATAAATCTTTACTAGGGTTGAAATGCATGGCTAGATTTAAATGTTAAATATGTTGCTTTACACATCATTGGGTCTAATGCTATCACATCCAGATATCCAGGCTTTAAGAAAACACAACTTTAATCGCTTTAAGCACAGATTAGCATGCTAGAAAGAACCTTCAGTGTCTTAATAAAAAAAAACTAACAGTGCAAGACCTAAAAGTCTTTTTATGATCCAGATTATAGTTTTCTTTTTTTATCTCTGCAGAGAACAGAACAGAAAAATAGAGCTTGATGCTGATGCTTGTACAATGTTTCTAAAACATTTAATCACATTTTATTTTTAATTAATCAGTCAATGGTGATCTGCATTTTATCAGCTACATTATGTTGTGAACTGTAAGAAAGTAATGATATAATAATCCCCAAAGGCTGAATGATAAGTAAAAAATCAGCGGTTTAAAGTGCAGTGCAATATATCTATTTGAGATGACTTGTTGTGCATTTCTAGCTTAAAACTATAACACCAGGTGCCACCAGAGGGCAGCTCCTCTTTTAAATGAAAAACTGGGCACCAGCATTAGGGGAGCTGAAAGCTAGTGAGAAAACTCCACCTTGTCATACAGACCACACAACAGAAAATGGTTACCAGCCGAATAACCCAAATGACAGACACAAAAGAGAAACACAGGGAAGTGAAGAATGCGATATTCAGACACACATGAGATTTTGCAGATCCAATAGTAAAGAACATGCACAGAACACATCAGTGTAAGAACAAAAAATGAGACAGAAACAGCACACCTTGCACTGGACTGTGATGAGGGATATCTTTTTTACAGAAAATTCACAGAAGGCCCAAAATATTTCTGAACCTGTCTGTAATGCACATTTTAGAGGATAACTTTCTGTATATATTTGATACAAAGGCAATGAAAATTAACCTGACTCTTGTCCTGTGTTAGATGTTAGTGAAAATATCTTAATTGAATCCACTTATATAGAATATTAATACTCAATCATGTATAGTAACTAAAGGAATGTTCATAGTATCTGAACGTCATTAAAATTATATTTATGTACGAATTTAAACATGTTTATTTAGCTGCTAGTTGTAGTGTATTCCGCTTCCTTCGTAAAAATCTGCAACAAAATCTTTAACATGGTCACTTGTTGTGGTTATTTTTGACACATTTTGAAACATTCAATACTACTGTCCTCTTTTTTAACATACTGTATTTGCTTTTAAACAGAACTCATTTTTAAAGCCACTATAATATATTAGGTTATAGGTTATATTTCATCAAAACCTAAAATAAAATTATGTTTTCTAATGGCCATTTACACACAGATACTAATAATTCTGTGTACTGCATTAAAAAATAAATGAAAAATGCTGTTAGTGTTACTGTATAGTATGCCTAGATGAGCAAAGTACTAATAGGTTAATACACACATAATTTGTATGATTAAAATAAGATGTACTGTACATTATGTTAGACTGTATGCCACGTAATTATTTTACAAAGAAATGCAGTCCTGCATCAGATTATTTGAAAAAAGAAAAGGCTGGTGGGCGGTGTAACGCGGCTTGCTCTTTGCAGTACGGCGCATTAAGCCTCGATCGTCTTGATTGGCTGCACCTCGGCGGTGAGCTGAATTGATCTCAGCGCTATCATCGCATCAAGTTTCGTTCAAGAAATAAACAAAAAAAACATGTATTCAACTGCACTCTGAACCCCCCCACCACCAGAGAAGTTAAATTACTTACCCTCAAAAATGTTCACGTTTCAATGACTGTATATACAGTAAATCATCAGTGTTTCTGGTACATTGAAAAAAGTTTTGTACCACATCTTTAGTGGTTTTATCACATAGTTTGACCTTGGAAACCTCAATGAATAAATAACCCAGATACTGAAATAAAGAGAATCACAAAGCCCAATCTTTCTTACAAAGAGCAAAGGTCAGAAATGCATTTCCGGAACAACTCTTTTACCCTTCTTTATTTTTTTTTACCAAAACAATGTACCCTATCCTTTGGCTTAAGTTGTGCACGGAACCTGCTATGAAAGACAATTGATTGATCCCCCCCCAAAAAAACGTACAATTTTGAGGTGAGCCAGCAGCCTCATGACATCAGCCATGTCAGCCAGGATCAGAAGACGAGTTACAGCAGACAGCAAGGCTCGGGCAGCTCGGACCATGGTGCCACGCTTCACAGAGGAGCACGGGTCATCAGCAAACTCGGAGGACGCCACCCTCATGGTCTCACCTGGAAAGCAAGGCAAAATGTTTGGGGGTTAGGAAAGAGAAGGTAAACTATTGCTGAAGCCTAGTCTGATCTCATTCAGGAGAAGCCATTGGATGCCATTGGATGCCTTGGGTATTTGATGGTCGCTGATTGGCAAGGGAACTACAGAAAATTTGGCTGGAGAGGAAGATGCATCAATTTTCAAGTCCTTGAGTACAGTAAGTTCCACCAAAAGCTGATTTCTAAATTAACAGTAATTTCAACCTGAATAAGGAATTCGAGAAAATATCTCTACAGAGACAACACCTCCTGACAGACAATGTGAGGATGGAAATCACTTTTTTTTCGTAAAGCAAATGGCATCTTCGTTTCACTGGGGCTATTTGTTTCTGGCCAGCTTTCAGCTCCTTCTAGCAAAGAACAATAAATAAAAAACAGGATAGGAGTTAATGTGAAGTCCCAATGCAGAGTAAAAGCAAATGCGTGTGTGTCATGGGTTTGGTGGGGGATAACAGAATACTATAGAGTGAATTCGAAACAAACACAAATAATCTGCATGAGAAAGTTCCCAAGAGGAACTGGGATGCATAGCAGAATTGTGTTGCATTCGGAATTACTGTTCCTGATTGGTGTTGGCCTAGATCTGACTCGGGTCATGAGATTAATAAGATTGGAGTGAGAGGAGGTTAGCGGCTGTGGCTCCAAAACAAATTGCTCTGGTCAGCAGCTAGCTGGCTGCCAGGGGATCAGAGGCAAAGCAAAGGCTGAATTTTTAAAGCTAAAAGGTATTCTTACAATGCAGGATTATTTTTATTGTATTGACTTAACCACTCCATCAGAAGGGAGATCTGTAAAACTTGTGAGTCTTTCCTTTACTTTTTTGGAGGGGAGATTGGCATTTATTTTCCAGAGAAAAAGCAAACACTTCACAAGGGGGTTCACTGCATTTCATTGCTCCAAACTTCCTGCTGCATTGGCATTGACTTGTAGGATGTGAATTCAGACAGTTATGCACTAGAACAGCAGGGACCATTTGAATAATACATTATAACATTTTGAAACATCGTTAATGAGTATGAAACATTTATTGCAATAATTTAATTTTGTCATACTAGCATTAATCTTGTAACAAATGGAACACACATATTGTTTCCTAAGCTTCTGAAGAATGAATGCTCAATTTACTCAAGGGTGCACCAAGAATTGCTTTTTCAAAGAAAATGTCATCTATTCCGCCATTTGAATATGATGGAGAACGATATTTTAATGAAGCTTGAGAGTCAATGTTTAAGCTATTAAGGTTCTCTAAATTATTAGAATGTAAATGGTATTGTAGTTTAATTATCCAAAGTAATAGTGGATGACTTGCAAATCACAATGCCTTGGCTGCAATAAGCCACCCCTGTGTGGTAAACAGAATGACATGTTCATTCTACTGCCTGAAGTGTGGGGATTTCTTCATTAAGTACATTACTAACAGGAAAACTCCCCCAAAACCCCACAGATTGCAAATAATGAGGTGAAGGAAAAAAAACCACAAGCATTAGTTATGTACATGTACTGTATATCTGAGGCAAAATCAAATTACTTTTCACTTCATAGGCACAGTATGAGACAAATCAGTCATAGTTCTGAGTACCAAAGTACGTAAACCAAGTTAAACTGCACAGACTGGTAGACTGTGACTGTCTTTTCATGTGTATCTTTTGAGTTTAAAAATGTATAAACTAAAACTGGGATTAATGTTTTCTCTGACATAAATTAAAAGAAGTTTCCAACAGTTGCAGCAACTGCAACAATATTGTCTTCTTGCCGCCTCTGTTAAACAGTAAATTGCACTGTACAGTATATCTGGTCATTACCACAGATATTACTTTTGACCAGTCTGCATTCCTTTTCAGTGCTTTGGGGAAGTATTTCAGACAATATGGTTATTTATTCCAGTTCCCCACTGAGTTCACCTGATACAGTACCAATCTGAGCTTTACAATAATTATTTGCACTCCGAAATATACGCGCACTATACAGTATGTATGATGAGTATGTAACACTTTGAGGACTCTTTTAAACCTGTGAATACTGTGTGACAGCAGGCGTTAATATAATCTGAAGCTCAAAATAAATAAAGTGGTTAGAAAACTAATGGGAAAATGCCTTAGTACTACAGTGATTCAGCTGCTGAATGCACACCTCTGTGCTTGGTGTTCACAAGAAGAGAATTCCACCCCCTGGTGGAATCTTGCTTGTAATTACTTGAAGCAGCAGCATCAATTCTCTCAAATGTCTCTTTTTATTTGGATTATTCTGTTTTCTCATGCTTTCTCACTACTTGTAAAATTATCATATTCTTTATACTGTACTTGTTTCATTACTGAGTGTTAAATAGTCCCCTTGTTTGACCATGTCTATACCTCTTATTATGTATATGGATCATAGCTTCTCACTCTCCTTTGTTCTAGACTGAAGATATTTAGCTCTTTTAACCTATCTACATATGACAATCCTCAGAGACTTATTGCTCTTTAGAACTCTTTCTAAGACTATAATATAATTTTTGTGATACAGGGCATGGGTGGAGTGGTGGCTCTGTGGCTAAGACAATGCACCCGTGGCTGGAAGGTTGCCGGTTCTTATCCTGTGGCCAGAAGACGAGTCCTACTCCATTGGGCCCCTGAGCAAGGCCCTTAACCCCAACTGCTCCAGGGGTACTGTATAAATGGCTGACCCAGTGCTCTGACCCCAAGCTTCTCTCCCTGTCTGTGTGTGTTTAATGGAGATCAAGTTAGGGTATGCAAAAAAGACAAATTCCTAACACAAGATATTATATATGGCCAATAAAGTAACTGGCTTCCTGTCAAATTCTGTGTGGATTTTAAAATCCTCATGCTCACCTATAAGGCTCTGCATGGCTTGGCACCTCAGTGCCTGTCTGAACTATTATCGCCCTACTCCCCACCTTGCAACCTTCGCTCTTCTAATTCTGGTCTCCTGACTGTCCCCCCAAGCCTGTCTACACTGTATGGGTGACAGGGCCTTCTCCTGTTATGCCCCCAAGCTCTGGAACTCTCTCCCCAAGGATTTTAGAGCGTCACCTTCTCTAAACTCCTTCAAATCCAGACTCAAAATCTTCTTATTTAGAAGAACCTTTACTTAACTGGTTCCATTCTTTACCCCTCTGCTCCTACTATACTTAGTACCCCCATCCACGGTCTCGTCTGCGTATTGTAATTGTGTTTTATCTTTTCATTTTTTTTCCATTTTTATTCATTGTATTTATTGTTGTTGTCATTCTGTAAAGCGCTTTGAGAAGCCACCTTTAAAGGCGCTATACAAAATAAAGTGTATTATTATTATTTATTATAAAAAAGGTGGTGGTGATTTGGATTAAAAAATAATGCTGAGATAAAATACAATTGTTTATCCACCAAAAGTAAGCTTTCTAAAAGAAAAGGAAGGATTTGCATTAACTGCTCAATCCAGTGATAATACAGTAGGTGTGGGCATCAATGCTTGAGGTCTCTAGACATAAATTATAAAGAGGAACTGATGATCTTGCAAGGAAGTACTGGTAGTTGCATCTACCCATCTGTTGCTAAGACATTTGAGGCTCTTACAAATTCATATCCTTCAAAATTGTGAAGGGAATGTTTATATCATAAGACAAAATAAAAGTCTACTAAATCTTTATACAGTATTTTGCCAGTTACTGAATTGCAAGTAATTACGATCTGACACAGAACACAGCTTCTGATTCAATTCTCATTTAATCCTTTTTAAGTAAAACATCTGTTCCTGACATATTACACAGACAGTAAACGAATCGTGTATTATTCATACAAAATGAATGTCAGGAGCAAACTGTAGTTAATGACTAAGCCTTGTACCACTCTTAACCACTGCTGTTTTTCTTAATAAGACATTGTGCAATTAGAGACCAGGTCTAAAGTCAGGAGACTGGATTCCTGATCTTATCACTTTCAATAGCATAGCTATAGCATTTTAGAAAAAACTCAGTCAATGATATATTGTACCACATTACTCTTCATTATTAACGTACAGTAGTACAACTTGGTGAAATTGGGTGTCATAACTATAAGAACTATAAGAACTAACAAGAACTATAGTGCCTGTTCTACCAGTCTTCTAGCTACAGTATTTTCTCAAAATGATTTTGAATATATGTGGAAAACCATAGCATTTCTTTTTTCGTCTCGATTTTCATTGATTTACAAATTGGAGGAGCTAAGGACTGTCATTCAGCAGGTGTGAAGTTGCTGGGAAACGAGAGAACCATGTCTGCTCAGCAGCCTATGCACAAACTTCATTAAGTCAGCTGCTCACACTGAAGCACCTCTGTCTAGTCGGAAAAAAGCTGAAAGTGAGTATTCGAGCCTTCAGGATTCACACTTCATTAGATAATCAAATTTTTAATGTTGCATATATTACGACTGAACTACAGTAGGAATGCTAACTATTTATGAGGATGGATATGTTAATTGGAGATTTAGAGAAATGAAATTTAGGCTCATTCCCATACATTTCAAATTGCAATGTGATGCACAATCCTAAATTAACAGATTCCGGTGTGCCATAAACAGTTTTATATGGAACCTGATACAGTATCTTGGCTCAGCACATTCTAAAGTGCTTTTACAATTTTGTTCACAAAGGGTTGGATGGACTATTCCACAAAACCTTTGGTGAAAAGCCCCTTACAGCAAACTGAATGTTTCATCACATTCCTCTGTACGCCTTCTCTGACTGGCAGAAATGAACTTGAAGAGAAGAGCCAACAAAACCAATTAGCAGTGCATGCGTTCACATTAATTTGCACTGAATAATGAAGCACAGTTCCAAGAAGGGCTATAGCTGAAGTTAACAACCTTCTGGCTTGCTAAGGTGACAGACAGAGTTTCCATATCAGTCTAAACCTTCTTGACAAGATCCTGCGGAGACTCTGTTAAAAGCCTGCAGTAATCTCTACACACTGTTGAGGGAGAAATAATCACATCCCCTCTCCA